AACAAATAAATTTGGCACTGTTTTAAGCCACTAGGTTTATAGTAACAAACATTCATTTTAAAATTATTTTTGCCCTATTTCTGTTAAGGTTTTTAACTAGTATTTAACAAGTTATGACTGAAAGCAGCCTAAACACTATAAGATTGGGTGCAACTGACCTTACTTCATAAGGCTCAAATGCCACCTGGGATCTGAGCTTCACCAATGTCACACTCTGGGAAGGCACACAGTAGGTAACTGCATTCTAGAACATGTTACAAAGAAATATGTGACCTAGAAATATGACAAATACATTCAGGTCCTCCCATGTGAATATGTGGTATCTTGAATTTTCCAAAACAGAGAGATGTATAACAAAATAAAAATTAAGATCGTGGTTGAATAATAAATTTTTGTTTTAAAATATTATAACAATCTTTTTTAGGATTAAATAATATCTCCTACTAAATCCTATAAGATAGGCATATTTCCTACCATTCATAAATTTAATAAGACGCATGATCTTTATTTATGTTTAAAAGAGGTCAAAAATAAAGATTAGAAAATGAAATGCATCCCCCAAAAAAGGAATAACACTACAACTGCAACAAAGCACACTCCTCCAATAAAATATCCAATGTCATTTTCTCTAATTTATCAAATAATACAATGACTGTCAAAATTTCTTCTAAATATGGGGAAAAAAATTCTTAATCCAAACAATTTGCTTTTAGATCCCATGCACTTATTTTGGTCATCACATATTATTACTATTCCTTTTTTGTTTACTCTGTTTGAGTAGTTATTTGTTCCCATCGACACTGAAAATGGCAAAGTATAAGATTTCCAGGTAAATCTTAATCCTACACAATATATTAACACAATTAAGAACTAATTATGCACATGACAAAGTAAATGGGTTGTTAGGGATACAGAATAACTTACAAAGATTCTGCCCCTGAAGTGCTCATACTAGTGGGGGAAGCAGGTGGAGCAGAAGGCTAATCGACAACAGAAACCAGAGTGCAAATATGCTTTACCATATGCCTATCTGGAGGGGGAGAGTGCCCTGAGGAAAACAGTATAAGGACAGAGGGAAGCCAGGTCTAGAAGAAAGTTTTTATTCTGCAGGCAAAGGAGAAGTCAACAAAAGTTTCTAAGCAAGGAATGAACACAGTACCTATGGTAGGAAGAACAGTTCGAAGCAAAGAGCAGCAACAGGAAAGCCTACCTGGATTTAGGCTGCCAGAGGCAAAAGAGAACTTGAACAATGAATGTGAGAATGAAAGACAGAAAATACAGAAAAATCAACCCTTTTAAAACATACTTTAATACCACCCGTGGCACCACCTGTGGCTTCTATCAAAGTAATGGCTAGTTGCTAATACAAGCTAAGTGAGTGAACAAGGAGCATGTAACCCATGTTGAAATACCAAGTTCATTTATTCAAGGAAACCGACTTTCTGACATCTAAGATCCTGAGCCAATTCTAAGGAAACAGCTAAAGCAATTCAAAATGCAAAAGTCCTGCAATGCCGGAATTTCTCAACTAAGAAGTCAGAGGGCAAGTATAAAGGGAGCCGAAATGATTCATGATATAGCTTTTCAAAGAGCTAATTAGTGGTAGCAATGGAAAAATATTCACCTAGCAAAAGAAATCTAATCCCTCATCTAATTTTCACTCAACCTATAATATTTAAACCAAGCTAAAGAAGGAGATAAGGATATGGATTTTTATTTTATTTTTTCTGTGTGTGAGGATGAGTGCAGGGAAGGATAATCAGGTGGAATTAAAGAAAATAAAAACTGAAAGCTTCAGAGTTAAATGACTTATGAAAAAAATTCACAATAATTTATACATCTAACTTCCATGTCTTTGAAAATTATAATAAAATAATATTTAATAAGTACCCATATGTACAATATAGCCTCACAAAAACAACAGGCTAGGCCTAATGAATTGGGTAATAAATTGTAACATCCTCAAAGATACAACAATAAAAAGTGTTTTCCTCTGAGACAATTAGCCATATATAATGGAAAGAAAACATTCCTTATTAAAATAAGTTTCTCTATTTACTAATCTTATTCTAATATGAAAGTCTGAAACCTAAACCTAAGACTTGAAACACCCAAACCCTAACCTAATTTCCTGTAGGTCAATGATGACACTGGGTCTTGTTCCTAATAAGGCTAATGAAATACCTCTGATTTTAAAAAAAAAAGAAATTATAATAGATACTCTGTACCAAAATTTTTTTACTAACAATGTGCATCTCATACTTGAATCTCTCAACTCAGAAGTCTAAAAACATAATAGATATCTTAAGAAAAAAATACAATAAAATTAACTATTTAATCCACTGTCTTCAATGTACTTTGGAGGCATTTTGTCTTAAATTAAAAAATAAATCATTTGGTGAGAAAAACAAAATAATTGAAGAGGAAGAAGACCTAATATAAATAGAACTGACATTGGTTATAGGTTACCTAGAAACCATTTTATATTTCTAATTGATTCAGTTGCTGTTTTATAGGGAATGATTTCACTGAGCTGCTTACACACTTTAAACATCCAAGAAAGAACCAAATGTCAACACTTCACTACTAAAGTCAAATTAGGGGGAAAAATGCTTTCAAACAGTCTAAAAATTAAGATTTACGAAATAAGTAAGCCAGCATTCTGTTTGTAGGAATTAGGGTGTTGGAACTCTAGGCAAAAGGGTAGAGTGAGAGTAAGGCAGATAAGGAGAGGAGGGAAGAGAAGTGGGCCAATAAGACTGAATTTCCACACAGAGAAGACATGTAGGTGAAAACAAAAGACTAAAGCTACAAAAGACAGCTTAGGGAATTGTTACCCAAAGATCTTTTAAAATCATTTTGAAATTGTTCTAATGTTATTGGTATGGAGAAGTAAAAATTCCATACTTTCTTCAGAAAATCACCACTCACTACACCTTTCTCATAATTCTCACTATAGTTGGCTGTAGAGATGTAACTCTTGGTTCTACGTTACACATTCGGCTATATTTGTTAATCTAGAACAATGGTTCTCTGCCAGAGGTTAATTTTTGCCCCCACGAGACATTGGGGGACAACTGAAGACATTTTTGAGGGTCACGGGTTGAGGGAGCTGCTATCGGCATCTAACAGGTGAAAGGCCAAAGATGCTGCTGAACAACCTACAATGCACAAGACAGCGCACACATCAAAGGATTATTTTGCCCAAAATGCCAACAATGCTAAGGTTGAGATACAACCTTTTCTGAATATAAGCAAAAACCAACTTCTTGGACCTTCATCCTAGTCATCTAACAGACACCTAATTAAAGCATAGACCACCACCAAAGGACTCATTTTTCAATTTCTTTAAACATGGTGGATGGCTGGCTCAAACTAAAATACACTGAAATTATATTATCAGGAGTGCAGAAATGTAGAAAAATAACTTTTAACCCTTCTTTTGTTCCATTTTTGTCTCAAGCACATTCAATTCATAAAAGGAGCACCTACATGTTTCCGTATTAAGGTCTTTCTCTTCTATGCTCAATGCACTAAAACATACACTGACCTTGGCAAAATACAATATTTCTCATTAATGTAAAAACTTAGGTAAACAGTATTAACTGAGTATTTATGTTGGGAGTGAGGGTGCAGAAAGCCACCCAGGTCTTTAAAATGCAAAGTTATTTCACAGTTTGCTTGCAAAATGACTCAGATCATTATTACTTTTAGTCATGCCAAGTTTACTGCTTCTAAGCCTACAAGTAATGGAGAAAAAAAAAAAAAAAACACCATTTTTCCTGCAGTCACTAAACCAATGAAACAGAAGCTTACTGAAAACAGGTTTTGTGCAATTTTTTTTTTTTATAACTGTTATAAAAATAAAAGCAATCCCTGGGAGTGCAAATGAAGACTGAGAAATCTTTCACCTACCCTAAGACCTATACGGTGTGGACTGGAAACAAACAAAAGAAAATCCTAACTCAGACATCCACAAATCTTACGTGGTGAATATTTTCCTAATGTATCCCTCAGTCAAAACCCTGGCTTACTCTTTTTATATTACCATCCATCAAACAACTGGAAAAGACCTCCACACAGCGTTTCACCGAGAGAACAATACTAAGAACAAATAAAAGCCTTGGCGTTGTACCTGGCAAATCTCATTCATCAGAAATCATGGCAGCGAAAAGAGAATCCTGTAGTCCGGCTTGACCTTTTCGTACCTTCGCATCGGTTTTTACCGCTCGAGTATCTTACTGGAGCAAATGTTACCCAACTTTGGTGGTTTCTATGTCCCCACAGTAATAAAAACCAAGTATCCAGCGTAGCCTACTTCCTTACGCAACATAATCAGGTAAATATAATTAGTGCTCGTTTAACATTTACAGAACCGCCATAGGAACCTACTTCCTTACCCAACATAATCAGGTAAATATAATTAGTGCTCCTAGTGCTCGTTTAACATTTACAGAACCGCCATAGGAAGTTAACAGGAAAGACACATTTTAATCCCACGGAGGCCCCACAAAAGGTGCACTGATTTCACCAAACGTGGCACTCTTGACATGGGAAAACCACAACCGCGAAACACCTCGTACCAAGGGGTTTCCGGGAAGGGGGGGCGGCGGTGCTTTTATTTTCTTGTCGCGAATGCCCCTTCATCTTTATAAAGCTGAACTAACTTCAAAGAAAAGAGGTTACTCGCGATCCGCTCCTCGGCTCCCCGCGGGGTCCACACCGAGGCACTCAAGTGAGGTGAAGCTCCAGCCGCACCGCCGGCGAGTTGTTACTGGCCAGGAGGAGGCAGGGAGAGGACTGGGGAGATGGGTACCCACCTCGGCTCCGCACCCAACCAGACAAGCTCACGCTCGGAAACCATTCTGGGGCGCTACGAGACACGTCCCCTCCGGGGTTCCGAAGGCCAAGGGGCCCGCAGCGACCCCAGCACAGCGGCCGCCCCCAGGGCGCCCCGGGTCTCCGCCCGCGGCCCCTGCGTCCGCCCCGGCCGCCCTTACCCAGCAGCAGCAGCTTGACCTCACGCGCCGCCTTCTCGCCATCCTCGCGGAGGTTCCGGTCGATCATCTTACTCCGCTCCACCGCCGCCTTGTCCTCGGCGCTCAGCGTACAGCCCATTGTGCCAGGAGCGAGAGCCTGCTGCCGCTCCCTTCAAGTGCGACGCGCTGTCGCGGAACACAGGTGAATTCTTGCTCTCTGGACGCGGGCGTTCGAGTACCTCCCGACGCTGGCCACACCGCCCCCACCCACTTCCTAACCCGAGCGAGGAAACCGAAGGAGCAGGCAGCGCCGCGCAGCTCTTCCCCAAGGCCGGGTTCCGCGCCTGGCGTCCCTCGCCGTCCCCGAAGTCCCCGGGTTTGGAGGTTCTGGGTGCCACGGACGTTACCCCCTCACCCGTGGCTGCGCTGCAGCCTCTAGAAGCCCGGCGGAGATCGGCGTCCTCGCGCCGCCGCGGCCCCGCCCCTC